CTAACTAACCACTTGTGCTGTCTATTTACACACATCTTTGATTTATTTTCCATTTTTAAACAAAGACAAATGGCACTAAAATCATGACGTGATAACCATCACAGCAGAGGACAGCAAACCAGAGTAGCATACTGTACAAAAACAAATAGTCAATATATTTAAAACTCTAAAATCTCAAAGCACGTGACATCTTACCAACTAAATACATCCCAATCCAGTCTCCAGCATCCACTTCTTCCTTGATGTCCCATGTGATCACCAGATCTTCGGACTGGCCTATGATGTAGTGGGAAGAGCTGATGGTAAGAGTGGAACGTGCATCTGGAGAGACCAGATCAGTGTCGCTGGTGGAGCGTGACAGTCCCAACATAAAAGCATCCTGGTTCAGGCCATTGACAGCAAAGGACTCGGGGCCATAGCTGTGCCGAACCGCATCCTTACAGCGCTGGCGGGTCTGGCTGCTGCGAGTTGGGGAAGCCATGGCCGCCAAGCCCAGGAACCGATTTTGGTACAAGTTCTGCAACGACATACACAGAAAGAAGCTTTTAGCAGAATCAAAGCTACAAAAACACGAAGTACCTACAGTGGTTGAAAATTTGTGGCTGCTTTAAAACGTAAAAGTGCATTTTCATATACAATATAAATTTATTTGACCGGCTTTTGTAAAAACAAAATAAAAAATAGAAATAGAAATCTGTCAAAAACTCGTTTAAAACAATAAAGTGACTGAATTCATGTTTTTATACACATTTTGATCACTATGGTGGTCAGTGCTCTCTCTTATGCTGCAGCTTGGTGGACACCAAAACAAAAAATATCCTCAATATCAACTCGATCACACAGCTACAATGCAATGATGATGCGCTGATAACAGAAAACGGTCATGTATTTTAATGCTGTCTGATGACTGACGTCAAACACAGATCTTCTTCCAGCTAGAAGCAGAGCAGCTTGTGTTTGCTCACACAGCAATATTCTGTTAATCGTTTAGCAGATTGTTTTTTAACTGTGACCAACAGCTGAAATGCAAGCTACTAAATCAGTGTTAAATCAGCCTGCCAGTCATCCTGTGCCACTGTAGGGACGCACCACTGCCTCTGTTCTTCTA